AAACTCAGTTTATTGTCCATAGTGTCCATTCCAAAAGTATCAAAAGTTTGGGGAAGGCCCATTCCTGTTTCAACCTGATACTTCCCCCATGAAAGAAACTGACTGACCTCCTGCACAGAGCCCTGACCTCAACCACCTCATCCAACACCTTTGAGATGACCTGGAGTGCTGATTGAGAGCCGGGTTTCATTAGCCAGCATCAAAACACAACCTCATTAATGCTCCTGAGGCTGAATGGTTGGCAGATTTTATAGCAGCATTTTAATGCCCATACTTGAATTAGATGTTCAACAATCACATATAATACTCACGTGTCCACACACTTTTGGCCACATTGAGTACGAAGAGTGAAACTCAGTCATGTTGTAATGTGCACTGTGTCACTGTGCACATTCTATGACTTTATTTTTTATTTGTCTTTTGTCTTTTAGTGGATCTCTGTATAATAAAACTATTTCAGCTATTCTGCACTTTATCTGCACTTTATCTGCACAGCTTCTTTGACATGCTAATAATGCACCGGCAGTATATTTAACTGACTTATTTTGGTAGAGAGAAAGAGACAGAGAGCAAACAGACCGATCCAGATTTGCTGGTCTGACTGGTAAGGCCGGAGGGGGTGTGGGCCGCCTCTCAGTGCTCGACAGGTGTGGTGAGAGACGAACAAAAAAAAAACAGACACAGAGAAGAGAAGAGAAGGAGGAGAGGGAGAAGTGAACTGGAATAAAAAGAAATACGGGTGGAGTGAAGATAAAGCAGTGTTCTTGCATCCGGTGCTGACTGTGACCACCAGTGTGAGTATAGACATTACACCTTATTACAGTTTCTTATTTACAGTGTGTGAGAGTGTGTGTGTGTGTGTGTGTAAAAGTAAAAGAATGAGATTGCAAAAATAGTCATGATTACAAAGCAATATAAACTTTAAAAAATCTCTGACTTGTGTTTTCATTGACAGTGAAAAAACGAAAAGATTTTGTGGATCCAATAGAGGTGGACAGGTGGACATCACAAGGCAGAGAGACAGAAACAAAGATGGCTGAGGCCCCGAAGATTGAACTCTTCGTTAAGGTAAGACCTACAATAATTGTAATGTGTTTTGTTTGGAAAAATCCAGCTGAAACACCTACAGATGTAGACAAACCAGCAGTATCTGTTTGTGGTTTATGTGTATCATTCCCAACCAATCTTAATATTAATTATTTTTTGTTAAAGTAACAGCAAACTTACCAAACATTCAGTAACTAAACCACTAGTTCCCTATTTTGATTTTAGCTTCTCTAGTATGCTCTAGTACATTTCATAAAAGCTGACAAAAACTGATTTAAAAATACTATTTCCAGTTGTCAAAGTGTCTGCTGCAGTATTTTTTTGCTTTGATTTTCTTTCATCCATGAGCTGATAGTGTCTGGGGATTTTAAACATGTTGTTTCAGCTAGTCAAAATGTGTTTATTACAAAATGCCTACACCCTCTCAAAGACTATCTCATGATACCTATCTCTAGTTATTTAGGCACAGTATCAGTGTAAAAGCAGTGAACAGTAGACACTGAAAAGAGGCCTGTCCAGTTTGAAAACCTGTGTCCTGCCCTTTAAAGAATGCTGTTGTTCCCACACATGCCTGTGACTCAATAAAATTAGGCTGTTGTGGAAAATATATGATGAAAGCAGAGGCACCAAACACTATTATACTATTATATTATATGTTGTTCAATCTGTGTGTAAAGCAGCCTCAACCCTCCATTTGAAATTCCTCAGAGGTTGGTTTAGACTGTCAGAGCAGAGCAGGCTTGACAAGAATACTTGTGCTAGGTATTCGTGGTTTAGTCAGATACATTACAGCTCTGCTGTCAGAACTTAACAGTGTCCCATTTTAAAGACATATTTGTTTTTATTATTTTAATGTCACTGTTTGTAGGAAATGAAAAGTGTATTTATAAAGTAATGTCTGTTTATCTGCCAGGCCAGTGTTGACGCTGAGAGTGTGGGGAACTGTCCCTTCTGCCAGAGACTCTTTATGATTCTTTGGTTAAAAGGAGCCAACTTTACCCTCACCACCGTGGACATGAAGAGGTGAAAGCCCATCTTTGACACATTAACACATACAATTTATGGTACAATGTAATGAATCAACAACACACAGACTCCCTGTCTGATGTAGTCATGACAAAGCTAAACATTTCGTTGTTCCCACCCACTGTGTTTCAAGGTGATTGTGAAGAAAAGGTTAATGTGAGGCATACAACTCAATATTTCAAGCACTGAGCCATCCATCCATCATAGTTAAGAGAAGCTGCAGCCTATGCCAGCACACACTGGGTGAAAAGGGCACAATGGGTGCAATAATGGTACAATAATAACACATACAGACAGAGAGACAGACAGACGGACAGACAAATGTGTTCACACTTATACAAAGCTGTCCATTTCTGCTGGTGTCCTTGAGTTGAACCTAGGGTGGTGGAAAGAATGAAGTGATGAGCCGCAGAGCCATGGGTGCATTTGAAGGCAAGGGGAGAGATTCGGAACACAGTCATGCAAGATACGGAGAGCCAGTATGGAGAGGTCGGAGAGGGCAATTAAACAATATTATGATTTTATAACACTGAACCGTGAAACCATTGCAGGGCACCTGATGTGCTGAAGGCTTTGGCTCCAGGCTCTCAGCCTCCCTTCCTCCTCTACAATGACGAGGTCAAAACTGACACTAACAAGATTGAGGAGTTCCTGGAGGAGACCTTAGCCCCACCGCAGTGAGTAGACTGCATCCTACAGATATTTAAAGACACAGGCTGATTGTTAGATATATTTTCAAGTGTTTTTAAGTTCTTGAAATGTATTTAATATCTAATTAATTACTGCATTGACACACATTTTTATTCTACCAATGGCAGGTATCCAAAGTTGTGCTGCCGATACAAAGAGTCCAACGGCGCCGGGGAAGACATCTTCAGAAAATTCTCAGGATATATAAAGAATCCCAACCCTGGGTTAAATGACAGTAAGGCATTAGTTGGATATTTCAACAATGAATTTATAATAACTTTTCCTTTTGATAAAGCCACATGATGGAGCCTGTTACACCTTTCTGTCTTTTAGTGCTAGAGAAGAAATTTCTTTCAACTCTGGTGATGCTGAACATGTACCTAGAGACTCCTCTTCCTCATGAGCTGGACAAGAACCCGAATGCCACTGAGTCTTCACGCCTCTACCTGGACGGTGACACCCTCACCTTGGCAGACTGCAACTTGCTTCCCAAACTCAACATTGTCAAGGTAAGTAGAGTTCAGGAGATTTAATCATTTTTATCTCAGTTTTAAGAGTTTTAAAAGTGGTAATGAGTTGTTCCTGGACTTTTGGAAGAGTATACAATCTTAAAACCCCTCATCCCTGCAGGTGGTGTGTAAGGAGTACCGCGACTTTGCCATCCCTGCAGAGCTGAAAGGTCTGACACGTTACCTGGGTAATGCCTACAAACGAGATGAGTTTCGTTACACATGCCCAAATGACTCAGAGATCCTCATTGCTTACCAATCTGTGGCAAAGTACCTGAACAAATAGATCAAGAGGGAGAGATGAAAATGAATAAAATGAGACAGAGAACAAAGAAGAATGAAATGAGAAATGCAGAGAACGACAGAGAAAAGGTGACAAAATGCCTGAAAACTGTACAGGATTTATTGTACATGATTGAGCCTGGCTAATGAAAATTGTTTGCAATAGTATGATCAATAATTAGCTTTCTATAAAAAAAAGTATGTTTAAAGTGTTACTTAAAAAGTTGCTTAAGTTGTATTTGTACGCTGTATATACTGTATTGCATGCTGTGGTTGTACTGATGTGGAGTTGTTATTCAGCCCCAGTAAGAGTTATAAAAAGCACTGTAAATCCCAGAGAATATTTATGTTATGTCTCATTATGCATGCATGTATTGTGTCTAAGTATTTACATAATTGTGACTGCAATTTATTCATTCATTTTTGACATAAAATCAGATGCAACTTTAAATCAAATATTTGACATGTTCAGAAAGTTGTTAAAATAAACATAAAACACAGTTGGCATTGGCTGTAGATAAGGTAGACCTGAAAGCTGTTAAAGTGTCTTTTAATGGTATGTTTTTAAACAAACGAGGAACATTGCTCCAATTAATGAAAATTAAAACACCCATATATATATTGCATATTTTTTCACAGACCGTCCTCCGAATGATTTTCTGAAAATAAATGATGTATCTCAGTCATGTTTAACTTTGACATACTGAATGAAGATGTTTTGTTATGTTCAATATTAAAGGCTATGTGAAAATATTCCACTGGTGTTGATTGTATGAATATTGGCTGAGTCTGCAATGATGTGTATCATTAAAGTGAAAACAATATATATGTAAATCTAAGGGGAAAAAATACATTATACAGTATTTGGCCTAGAAGTTACATTTTTAACTTCTCTGCTGCTCAATTTTTTCAAAAAGTTGTCATCAGTGATGATCATTTCTTTTTGATAACAGATTTTTCACCCTGACAGAAGACAGAGGGGCAGAACTGATCACAACACCTAATCAATTTGTTGAGACATTTTGGATAAGCTCAGTTCAATAAAAGCTCAGATGAAATTTAACTGATTCAAAGTGATACATTAAATGTATTAAACATCATAATAGTAAGTAACTTATATATCTTATCTTATATACCCTTTATTATTATACATTCATTTGATTATCATCACTAGTGCAATAATATATAAGAAGCATTTAAATGCTGTAACTTGTAAAGGTAGTGTTAAGTTTACTTTATGTTTATGTATAACAATTCAATTCAATTCAAT